CATACATTTATTTTTCTCTTGTCTTTTCCAGCTTGGATCACTGGCTTTCAATTAAAAATTATCTAACCTCTGCTATGAATTTAATGGAAAAGGAGGAGGATTTGAGTTCAACAGAAGGTAACTTAAAGGCCAAAAATAAAAATATACTTTGATTCATTTTATCAGCAAGTATCTGTGGATACAATGCCTTGTTACATTTTCTGCCCTAATTTTTCCAGCTGAATATGTATTGTGGAGCAGAGCTGATGCAAGTATTCCTCAAATTAAAGAATTCTTAAAGCTGCTAATGAATGAAATGAAAAGGAGAGGTAAAAATGTCCGTGGACCCTACCTTGCCTGGCTAGAGCTCTATAAAATGGTTCATGAAAAAGGCCAAGATGCTGATCAAGTTGTCGGTATGTTATTCATGACCTTCTCCCGCCTTTGTGATTTGTTCAAGTTTGTATTGTATTGTTTTTTATGAACTGAAGCATTCATTTTTTACTCTAGGTGATATTGTGGAGCTTTTTGTTCAGTATTTCCGGTGCTTTGGAGACCGTAGCTGTTGTCCATTAGATTTAAAACAATACTTACCCATGGTTTCTGTTCAATGTCGCGGAGACTTGATTAAGGGTATCTGGCAGATAGTCGGTTTGGAGGATGGGGAACTCCCAGACACAGTAAGTCATTTAGCATATTATTGTTTTTTATTTAAAAAGTTTCAAGTATTCTTCAATATCCACCTAATTCTCTATTTCAGGTTTATCGCATGCAACAACATATCTCCACTATTCTTCTCAGTCGACATCTTGGATATCATGAAAACTTATCATCAGCGGAAAAGTTGCAGCTGACAACTTGCTTTTTGCGCTATTTTCAGCATGGTATGCGATTTAACATAGACCCTCTACCTACTGATTTTCTGTAAGTACTTTTATAATTTTATTACTGTGGGTCTAGACAGGGTACTGGCTGGTTCTAGTCTAATACTTGATTATTAATTTTTTCTATGTTTTGTCTTAGGAGCAACGATCCCTATGTCTTACTAATGGCCCATTTATTGCTTGATGTGTGGATGGAAACACAAGACACTTCTCGTCTGCTAGATGTATTGCTTCTTCTGGAACATGCGTTGTTAATGTCTCCCTCTAATTTTCATTTTAAACTTCTGCTAGTAAAAGTCTACCACCTGTTGGGTATGTTGCACTTTTTAGTAACCCTTTAAATATATTTGAGAGCATTGTGTTTAAAAAATTTCCACTTATTAGTTTTATTGACTCTTGATGTATGTAATACTTTTCTTTATAGGTGCTGGTGTAGCGGCTCATGATGTGTATGAAACTCTAGATGTTAAACATATGCAACTTGATTCTCTTGGCTATGTTCATTGTGGGGCTGTGCAAGCTACTGGCCAGTATGCCACGGCTAGTAGTCTGTATGATGTAACGCTACGATTCTTCACTGTAAACTACAAAGATGTAAGCTTATTTGTACTGTGGAGGTTCCTTTCAACATTTCACTTTTAAGTGTAAATTTCTATTCAATCCTTCTGTCCCTTATTTTCAGAGTGTAGATTATTTGTCATTCACTTACAAATTTGGATCTTTCATGAAAATTGAAGAATTTGTTGAGTTTCGTGAAAGATTAAGTAACTCAATGCACTATGGTCTAGTCACAGTGGAGAGGATGCTCCTTGATATTCTACATAGCACCACCCATCCCCAAATGCTGAAGGTAAACAAATCCAATCTTCCCTTCATTCATTCATAATTGTGTTAGAAAACAAAATTTATCAAGGGTTTTTTTAAATGTCTTTTTTAACATTTTGGTGTTTTTACTTTTAAGGTTGTGAGTCAGATGGAAATCCAATCTGAAAAGGATAAAATGGACTGGAGAAGGTTTAATGACAACCGAGATATGTCTGCTTACATTTGCTGGGACCCACCAGAAAGGTTTATCATTCAACCTAATTCGCATGAACATATTGTTAAAGAATCCTTTCAAAAATAGCTACTGTCTTCATTCTTTTTAGACAAGTCAACCCAGAAGTGACAAAGAAGTCACGGGATTCAGATGTCTCATTTTTGAGGTTGCGGATGCTGCTTCTTCGTGGTCTTGGAGCAGCTGCTGAACTATGTAATCCTGACACTTTACCACCAACGGATGAAAGTAATGTCAATAGTGGTGATGTAAATAATGCTGGTGAGCCCACTGTCAATGGGAGATCTTTACTTCATCAGCATCCTCTATTATCCCTGGAAAAGGTTACTTCAGAACTTCAGAGTACTTTCAAAAGTATTCAGATGGAAGGATTAAAATTAGAAACCTCAGTAAGTGTGCCAGTTAAGCTTGATTTTAATCTGACTCATCATAATTCTCTGTCTTTTACTCATCCAACATCGTGTTCTATTCTTTCTTTTAGAAAATTATTGGTGCACCTCCTCCATCACGACTTTTTGATTATTTAGAGACAAACTCTGTTCAACTACAGTGTGAATTGTTTTCATTGATTTCAACTTTTGTGAAAAGTAATGGAGATGATAAAGTTGATGCTAAAGCATTTGCGGAAGGAGGTAAAAGAGCAATTACTATTCTTCAAGATAGCATACATAGTTCTATTAAAGCAGTGTTGGAAGGTAAATGTGTGTCTCTTAATACAAGAAGATTTGTCTTTGAGCGAGCAGTCAATTTAGTTGAGGTGAGAGCACTCTTGTATTTTTTACAAATAAACTTCACCTATATGTGGTGTCATTTTACTCCATTCTCCTCTTTTTCTTGTAGATGGTATGTCTTGCTGCATTAGTGTGTGGAATCATCAACAATATTCTTGAGCCATCAAAACAAACGTCTTCTAAGAAGACAAAGAAAAAACAGAAACCTGGGGTAAGGTTTTATGTTTTTTTTATTTTTAATACACTGCATTATTATACCTAACTTAATTTTTTTCCATTTGATAAACTTAAATTTGTTTATTTTTAATAGGCTTCACCAGAAGTTATAGAAGCACACAAACTGTTTGTTTCTGAAGTTCAAACTATTGCTACCGAGCTGCATACAGCCTTGGGTAACCTACGATTGCGGATGTCAGTGGAAGCATTCCACTCTCAGATGCCTTTGATCACAGCAAATTCCATCAAGGATGGGCCAGCTTGTCGTGTTCCTGCAGTCGGGACACTTCCAACTATTGGCCCTGATGATATTAGCGCCCTAAGCACTGCAATGGCACAGCTTGTGCTTAGTTATGAAAACAGAAAAAGTAAAGACAAAGGATACTCTGTTGATGTAAGTGCCAAACTTTCTGAAAGCTATGAAGATTCACTACAAGAAATAATTACAATTCTACAACAGAAGATGACCTATCTAGATAGTACAAAATTATAAAAAGATGAACCCTGTATGGTTTGCATTTTGTTCTTTGTGCTAATGAATTTCAAACAGCAAGATTTACCCTCATCCTTGCATGTTGGTTTGTACTGAAGTGTGCTTTTGTGTATTGGCGAGTCTTTTTGTTGGCAAAGCAGTATATTTCAAGTTTTGTCTATGTTTTGTGATGTGATGACTTACAAGCTCCAAGGTTTTGAATAGGTGTGGAATTGTGATATGTTAAATTAACCATGAAACTTAAGTTTCCTAACGCTGTAGGATTGAAAGAACCTAAGTAATACCTGTTTCTCATCAACTTTTGTGATTTCTTTATGTTACTCTTATTTGTTCTAATATAATGTGAAAACACTTTAATTCTGGGTGTCACTTCTTTTTCCCACCGTACTTTTACCATTTTCCTACAGATTGTTTCTCAAAATAGAGTAAATAAATTAGCAATCAATACAATGTTTCAAAAAAGGACCAATTTGGCTGAACTCTTCATCTTCATTGACTGTCATATTACTCGTTTTATTTTCCTTTAAGATAAAATGTTCCAGATAGTAAAAGAATTGAACGATTAGTGTTTATGTATTTGAATGAAGGCTTCAGCTAAGGACTAGGTTATTGACTAACTTATTCCGTAGTGTTGTTGTGCTGTTCATATTCCAATGAACAAAAATAGTAAATACGTTTTCGTGCTGTTATTTGCTATTTCCCTCGTTGTGTGGCATTTGAATTAAGCTTGATGTCTATTTTCAAAAATTGTTATGAGCTTTAAATGCAACATTTTACTTTCAAACATGTTTTTTCCTCAATTTTAATGGTTTTGTATTTTTTATGTCTGTTCCATAAGGTTCTACTAAATTATTTTCTTTTCAAAAAATGTAAGCATAATTGTCAATAATTTGGATTAAGTGTAACAACTGGCTAACACTATCAGAGGTCATTTAAATTTATTTTTTCTGTCTGTTTCTTTGAACATTGAACTAGCACAGTATTTTTAAGGAAATTGTCATGCAACAATGTTTTTGGAGATCTCTTAATGACTGAACTTTCCACAGAATTTTGATACGCTGTTTTCTAGATGCAATTGTGAATGCTGTGAATTTAGATATTGCCAAACACTGGATTACATCTTAGTAACCCTCATTTAGTCAGTTTCTTTATTTTCCCACTGCTGATCATTGAATTTATGCTATTTTTAGAACAAGACACATTAACACACACTTAATACTGATTGTTTTTATTTTGTCGTAAGTAAATTCCAAGTAAGGTACACCGTATAATATCTGAGAGTACTTTCTTTGGTTCTTAAAAATCCTAAAACACAAAATGTCGCCTCTTGTTTGTCACTGGTCACTAGAAAGTATAAGCACTTTTTTGTTTTTTTGAATCTATGTAACTAAGGTATATCACATTGTCTTGATGAGGTAAGGTGAGGGGTCTCCAGGTCTTTAAGATCATGGAAGTCATTGATGACTTCCCAAATGTCACTCTGATTGTTAATCTTATTGTTCAAGTTAGAAAGTCAGAGTGTTGGCCTTCTGGTTAACCCAGAAGACTCCTCCATTCTTGGCGACGGTGGCCCTGCCGAAGCAACGAAGAAAACATTAGCAAAGTGTTCGGTTGGTGGAGTCAGAGGCAAATTGATGTTTACGTAGGCGCTGGGTACTTACAGGCAAGTCACCGACTCCTTGAGGTTGGGCGGTGCCTTCCAGGTGAGGACAATCTCCTTCTTGTCAGACTTGTCGTTGTGAGTCGCAGCGGTCTACAAGAAGTTCGCATATTAGAGGCGATCTTAAGGGAGGTACCAGATATCTCCGTGTGTCGCAAAGACTCACCCCCTTGCCATCGCCGCAGTCCACCAGCTTGACGTTGGAGGGCGGGTTGATGAACTTGCCGACGGGGACGTTGCCGACGCGGCACTGCACCATGAAGCCCTTGAAGGTCTCGGGGCCCTTGATGGTAACGATGACCTGCCCGGGTGTCTTGGTCTTGGCGGAGCGGATCTGGTACGGCGAGGCCGAGTTCTGGGGGTCGGTGTGGTGCTGGGGGATCATGTCACCGCACGCATCTGGGGGCGCGCCGGAGCCGTAGCCGTGCACCAGGCACGCCGCCGACACGAGCACCGCTACCTTGAGGGCCAGCATTCTGACGGGCACGAGAGGAACACAGATCTTAGTCCTGGCTGAGAGGGACGGGCCAGAGTCAACGCCCGCTGCCTCCGTCGTCCCGTCCCAGCCGCCTCCCCCGTGCCCACATGACCGGTTTGGAGACGCTGGGCCGGGCCAGGTTTGGCGTTGTTGCGACACAAGCGATAACCGGGGCCGGCCAGGGTGGTGCGGGGCGCGTGGAGAGGAGGTGGGATCGAGCGCCAAGGACGCGTCGTCCTGCAGAGATGCTGCCCGGCACTCGCTCCCACACATCACACCTAGATATTCGGCGGCCCACCTTGACCCGCACCTCCCCGAAGGCCACGCGGAAGTGGCCACGGGCACGGGAGGTGGCAGGTCTCGCGGACATTTTCCGCGCCGGTGCCGCGTAACCCTTCAGTAAAAAACGAAGATGGTAAAATCTAGTCGCGGACATCCGAGCGACCGCACTGCTCCGCACCCTACGCTGTCAGCCGGGCCCGGGCGGGCGCCTGACGGCGCGCGCTAGGCAACCCCGCGGCGCGTCTCCGTTGCGGGTCTGCCTACCCTACCGCCTTCCCTCTGTCACCAGCCCCGGCTGCCCCGGCCCGGGCAGGAGGAACTGTCGGCGCGTCGCGCATTCAAGTCTCCGCGAGGGCAACGGCGGCGTCTCTAGCGCGCACCCTGTCCAACAACACATGCATTGCTTCTCTCGCTGTCTCTATCTAAGCTGCCGGGAAACTCTGAAATAGAAAACCAACAGACGACAACACCCAAGTTTCCCCACAGCGCGTATCTCCAGCCCGCACGGCCACAATATGCCTCTCAACTCAACACAACAACGCCGGGCTCGGGTGTTCCCCTCTACGCACCTGTTGTTGTTGTCGTTCGTGGTCTTTGCTCGAGCGGTCGGCACACGACTGGATGCTGTCGCGGAGAGTATCGCGGAGCTGGCGGCCCAGCCCGCGGCCGCGCCGCGCGCCCTCCCTCTCTCCCTCCCACCAAGACCCCCCTCCTCATTGCCAGGTCCCCGCGTCAGAGCTGGTCAGAGTGACTTGCAGACTGTCCTCTCTCTCTCTCTCTTTCTCTCTCTCTCTCTTTCTCTCTCTCTCTCTTTCTCTCTCTCTCCCCCCCCCTCTCTCTCACACACACAATGACCGTTCCCTCCTGGGAGGAGGTGGGGGGGGGGGGTTGTCCCTCCCCTAGATCTCTGCGCTCAACCCCATCCCCATGTGCCGGCGCGCTGTGCGCCGTGCCGCCGTGCCCACACCCCACCATGGGGCGGCCGTAGTACGCTGCCCAGCACCGTGCTGCCCAGTCAGTGCGACCCACACAACCTTGGACGGCACCTCAACATCGTACTTCCCTCTCGAGAAACATACAACAAGTCTCACGCGCGAATCGGACGGTTTTGTCCATCCTTGCGTCCCCCCTCTCCCCCCTTTTTTCTCAATATCGCGACCTAGCACCGCCATGCGATAGAGTGTGTGAGTGAGAGGGAGAGAGGGGGGGGCGCCCTGCCCAGCCAGGCGTTGCGCCCATCGCGCGCCCAGGTCGACGACAATGCCGCCGCCGTGATGATCGTCATTACCACTGTCGGCTGCTTCCTGAATATCATGCTTGCAAAGTTTATACATTTTTTAAAAAGCCAATGACTCTTGTCCTCGTCCTTGCCAGGAGCGGAACGGGTCGGGCACAAGAGGACATGCATTATGCGGCTGTCCGCTGGCGGGGCGGGGCGGGGCGGACTACAACCGAGCACGCGAGAATAGAGTTCTTCAGATAACAGAGGAAGAGGAATAACGGATAGAGCATGGATTGGTCGAGCCTTTACTCCCACTACCCGGCATGACCTCACGGCGGGAAGGTCTCCACTCATCGGGAACATTGAAGTTCTACCCGATATTTTCCTTCTTCAGCTGTTAGATGAGGTGCACCACGAGTCAACGCCTACACCACCGCCGCGTTGTCGGACTACACCGGGAAGACACCTCAAGCACGCGAAAAAAATCCATCCGCCGGGGCGCCGAGCGCCGCCATCCGTCGGCCAAAAAGATGTGAACTTGCGCCCCGCGCGCCCGCGTTAGGAAGGTTCATGCGCCGTCGACGCCCTGGCCGTCGAGTGTTGCAGCAACCTCAGCTGCGGGCGGGCGGCGGGCGGGCGCACCGGACAGGACAGCAGGCGGCGCGGGATCGGTCGGAGCCGTTTGGAGTCCAGCCAAGTCGTCTACACTGTCGTAACGCGCCGCCCCAGAGTGGGGCACAACTATGGCACCGTTCGGCGCTCTTCCACGTGACGTTCGCACTCCCACTCCACATATCCCATGTGCACGTGCACGTGGGGCCCCTCGACCGACAGGCACAACGTGCACGTCGAGCACCTGGAAGCACCTCCACAAGCATGCAAGTCGCACGTCCACTTCGGGAGCCTGCATTAACAACCATAGGCACAGGTTCACGTCGGGAACCTACATAAACAACCATAGTCACACGTCCACGTCGGGAACCTGCACAAACAACCATAGTCACACGTGCACGTCGGGCACCTCCACCCGGCCACCGCCAGCAGGCTGACCTGACCCTATGGCTAATTTATGGCAAGGATTCCGTCCGATTCGCCCGCCGCCCCGCGTCCTGGCGCGGGTCATGATGACACCTCGCACATCAACAGCCAGCAGCAGGGGCACGACCTATCATCATCAGCACAGCAAGTGTGCCATCGCGTGAGTGAGGAGGAATGTTCACGAGCATGAAATTATCCTTTTATCAGCCGCGGTCTTCGACTCGCCTCGCCTGCCTCGCGCGGCCGGCCACCGCTCATCCGCGGAAAAAGCCTGGACTCTTCTCTTCATCTCCCTCCCTCCCCCTCGGCCGCGCCCCGCCCCACCTGACTCACCGGCCGCGCGGCCGCGGCGCACATCGAGCCTCGGGGTTCAAATCCCGTGTCACCGTGCGGGGGCCGAGGCTCGGGCCGAGGGGGTCAGACTCGTCATGCTCATGCTTTGCCTTTTCACGGCGCCGCTGACCGCGAGCACGCGTGTTAATGAGGCGGTGTTTAGAGCGTCCTGCCGCGCGTCGCCGACGACGCCCCTGGCCGCGTCCTCTGGTTCACTCGGCCATGCCGCGAGTCAGTCAACGCCCGCGAGCTTTATTTATGTCCTCCAAATGTGTGTACACACATACTTTTTTGGGGCGAAAATTAATTTTTCGCCTCGGGGGAACTGCATACCCTTGGAGACGCGCTCGCCCCCACAGCCTCGGATGGAGAGGACGCTCAACTCGAGGCCGTGGCCCGCGACCGACGGGACGGGCGGAGCGACGGCTCAGTCTGCCTGATACGAGTGACCCAAAAATCGCGACCTGTCCTGCCTGGCTGCCTGGTTCAGTCAGCCTCCGACGACGACGACGATCGCGTCACAAACTCTTTTTTTCCCTCGAATAGACTTTCTTTTCTTTTGCTTAAAACAAGAAGACGAAGTGACGTCCATGAGATGTCGCGTGTCGCTGTTCCGCCGCGGCCGCCCAAGGTATCCAGCCGGAACATTTGCGTGCGCTTAGCGCCGCGGCGTCGTGCGCCCAGTCATCGTTGAACTTCGGCGCGTTGCGCCATTCCGACGACCGCCGGTCGGTGTGGGAAACAAACAACAACAACAACAACAACAACCAGTATGATGCGCTTTTGTTTCCCGGTTCGCGGCAGGGTAGGCAACCTGTCTGGCTGACAACTGCATTGGCGGGTCCCCCGCGCCCGCTGGTACTGGCTGCATCACGCGCTTATGCAATGTATGACTGCATACGAAAGCGCAACGGTCCCCCAGCAGCACCAGACCGCCGCCGAGCGGAGCGCCACACTACCGCCGGCCGAGCAGCAGAGCCGGGCCAACCCACCTTGACATGGAAATGTCACCCAACGCTACGCCGCGCTGCAGCTATGCTGTGCCACGTACCATAACACGCACTGCCCTATCCGCCCCTGCGCACCAGCTTCCTTTCCTCCTTGCGCCTTCTGTCTGTCTGTCTGTCTGTCTGTCTGTCTGTCTGTCTGTCTGTCTGTCTCACCACCACCCACACGGAAAAAAATGAATTGGTCGTCAGAACTAAATATTAGTTAATTTCGTGACAATCGATCAAAAAATTGTTGAGGTAACTAATAATTTGTTGTCAGGACCAAGAATAAGTTGCCAGAGCCAAGAGTTGGTCGCCAGAACGAAACACGTTTGCTGCAGGAGCCGATTCGTGGTTTGTTTTGAGAACGAATGCGTTAGCTCAAGCACCGAACAGCTTGTTCTGACAACTTAATCTTGGTTCTGAAAACAAATTATTGGTTACCTCAACAATTTTTTGATCGATTGTCACGAAATTAACTAATATTTAGTTCTGACGACCAATTCATTTTTTTCCGTGCACTTTTCTCTTCCGTCTCTTTCTTTCCTTTCTCTTCGCCTTGTCGACGCTGAATAAATCAGCCCCGTTACTTCCGCGAAATAGTCGTCTGCAGAGTCTGCGTCCCGTCAGCAGACTAGCGCCCTCCTGCCCCTTGGCTGCAGTGCCCCCCCCCCTTTCCCCCGACTGGAATACTATGACTATCGCTCGAAAAATGCCAGTCGACGTCCGTTATCTAGCATGAACCGGGGGTGGGGGTCAGAGGGCGGGGGCGGTCGCAGACACATTCATATAAAGCTCACTCCCCCCCCCCCTCTTTTCTCGCTCGGTCGGTCCATGGATCTGCGACGACTTATACTTCCTTTCTCGCCACCGATACCGTGTCCTGAATAATCCAGAAGGAACTACTTCCGTGTTTTTGTTTTTGTTTTACAGATTCATTCGGAAAAAAATTGCCAGAGCTACAGGCGCCTGTGAGAGTCGGGATAGGCCACCCTGCAGCACACGCATGCGTTGCAAGCAGGACGTGGCCTACCTACCAGGCGCTATGAGAGCTCGCAGTCTGACAGTTTCCTGACGGCGAATGACGGGCGAGACCTGTACTTTCTGGCTGATCCCTTCCGGTGCGACCGTACAGAAAAAAGAATAAAAAGAATCAATTTAAAAAAATTAACAAAAAATCAGTGAAAATTGAGGAAAAGTTTAAAAAATTAGAGATATGTGCAAGTATGCGGGAATCACGTGTAGGACCCTTGGCGTCGTTTGTTCGAAGCACCCACGGTGCACACGTTTGCCTCGCCACACTGTAAAAAATATTAGGGATTTTACAATCCAGTAGGCCGGGAATTTGCAACCATAGGTTGGGCATTTGCCTTTTGGGCTGGAAAGAAGCCCTTCCATGCCCTTTGGGCTGTCAAGGTATCCTCTGTATGCCCAGGCCTGTAAACTTACAGTACAATGTGGCCACGATATTTCAAGCACTGGTGGAAAATTTACCGGGTGGGCAGAGAAGGGCTGCCTTCGGTGCCGACCCGCAAGGGATTTCGCAGCCCGTGGGCAGGAAAGGGAACTCCCGCAGACCACGGACAGTAAATATCCCGGCATCAGCTGCAAATTTCCTCGCCTGGGAAGGAGATTTTCGCGTGGGTGGCGGGAAAAGGCGTCTTTCACAGCCCACTGATAGTAAAATTCAGATGAAGTGTTGATTTCGC